CTCGAAACTGGACAATCATGTCAACATCAATCCACTCTCCGGTATTCAAAACATGTTGAGCTAAAATCAACAAAACATTTACTTTTGAAAATTCCCACGGCATCCTCTACCAAACCATGAACTATAAAAAAACATAAACAATCTAAGCTCCTTACGAATCTCATGCCTGGACACACCGGTTGGGGTGTATGGAACAGCTGAAAAAATCACAGAAGTATTATTATAAAATTGCAATAAAGTAAAAAAGTATGAGGCAACAAGAGTAAACTAATTTTAACAATACGCTTTTAAAAAAATTTAGTAAGCCGTATTTCGATGAAGCAAAAATATGTAACTTCTTACAGCTCGAACCTCCATAAGAAGTACTACTGTCGTAATTATTTGAGGATCTGGAATAAGGACTTGGAGCAGCATAGTCGGCGTAAATACCACCGGGAGTCATAGGAGTATAGGCCTGGCCTAAAATTCCCTCAAGCAACGTATACTGGCAAGAACGTGAAGAAAGTTTTTCAGAATTGATAAAAAAAAAAGCAATCAATAGTACCCAAAGGAGTGTCTGAATTGTAACCAGGAGTTTGAGGGTTCAGAGATCCAGGTGTAGGTACTTCAAAAGGAGAGTTTGGTTCATCATAGTTAATGTCATCGTTTGGTTGGTGAGCAGGGGTATTTGTAACAGTTGGGTCCCAAGCTGATGAATAAACAGGGGTCCTCCCGCCATCACCAGCAGGAGTCATTGCACCGTAATGGGGAGTACGACCTGCACGATAGAGGAGATTACATGAATATTCAAACGAAAAGTGACATAAGCCTCAGAAATGATCGGAAGAACTGTCAACCTCCATCGTGCATTGGTGTCTGACTTCCATGCATAGGCGTTTGGCTTCCGTACATAGGAGTCTGTGCGCCGTACATCGGAGTTTTACCACCACCAGTGTACATAGGAGTTCGGCCCTCATCTCTGCTAGGTGTTTTTCCATACGTCGAAGTCCCGAAAGATCCTCCTTGAGCACCATCTCCAACTATACATATTCTAGACCTGTCGACGCTGATTGTCTAAATGTGTTTAAGGAAATGAAATAACCAATAGGAAAAAACATCCACTTCCTCACAATGATGTATACAGATAAATATTTTTCTCAAAAAATGATTTAATTCTTATTCTTTAAAAATTATAAAAAAGTCCTACTTTACAATTTGTGTGCAGTTCAACACGAGCAGTTTGCTCGGTTGAATCCTTTACTATCCCAAAGTAACCCTTGAGCGGTCCGTGTGTAATTCGCACACTTTTACCAATTATAGAATTGTCACGACGAATTCTCTGAGCACCAGTATCCATTCCTCCAACAGAAAGGCCACTCACAGAGCTAGAACCACCTGAAAGAGATATCTTAGGTCAAAAAACGATTGCAGAATAGATGAGAAACTTTAGCAAACAATTTCTTAATCTATTTGTGACTTTGGAAAAAGAAAACAACGCGCCATGTTGTGAAGGAGTAGCACCACCACGAACACTGCGACCACTGGACATGTTCCCTGGCCCAGGGGTTTGACTGCCATGTCTAGGACTTGCATACGGATTTGGGCTAGCAAACCGATTCAATGTTGGACCGGCTAAAAAAGCATTGTAAATACAGGCTATCTTGCGAAGCCCATCATACTGGCAATCTGAGAGGATAATAATAAGAATCAGCACTTCGAATTCCTGACTTCGCTCCTATAAGAAGAAGATGCCGCGGCTTGCAGACAAAAATTCCTCCATTTTCAGTGTGTTTCCGAGACATAACAAAGGCGTACGAACGGTACAAATGTTTAATCTCCCCCTGCTTCACATCTTCACCGTCACCGTGATTCTACAATAGTCTTGCAAAAGTACTTCTCTCTAATTTAAATAACACATAAGCAATACATAGGAGAACTTGTACCGCATGCGGCCCATCTACAACTTTCACCATATCCTTCACATGTAGGCTGTTGTTTTCACTATCCAATGCTTGAGCAAATCTAGTATCCTTTTTACCATGAATAGACTGTGGTTTAACTCGTACCACCTTAAAAATTTAAAAGATTATAGACAAAAAATAGGAAATGAAACTTTCCCCGTCTTACCTTTCCATGCATGTTCAAAACTTCTAAATATTCCTTTTCCAAACGAACGACACATCCGACTGTCTGTTGATCAAGCTTTACTAAATCCTGATATTGAAATTGCCCAAGAGAATGAACACCTGTAGTTTTATCGGCACAGAGCTGGATATCTCGTGGAAGAACTTTCAGCTGAATTTATTACAAAATTAATCGACCGTGTTAACAACAGCACTTGTGTAACTTATAAGATGTTTGAATGTGTGTGGTATATTTCTCCAATAACAACTAACCTCATGCATTGTCAGATCAGATAATAAAATAACTAAGTTTTCTTCGACGCGAACTACCAACCCTGTATCACCTTCATACCGCCCGTTGACAACCTTGACATGGTCACCAGCCCTAAAGAACTTCCTCAGTTCAAAGGCATTCAAGGTTAACGGCTCCTAAAAAGCATATTTAAAATATTGTCCCAAAGGTTAAGCAACTTCTAATCCCAAAACAGTGCATTAATTTGAACCAAAACACAAACAGCTCCTTGAAAGCCTGCTTACTGAGACTACCCATAATGTTAATTTTGAAAGATACAATTAATAAACTGTTATAGAAGGAAAAAACAAAATCGAAAACTCACTTTTAACTCCTCATGGTCAGGAATAACAACCACTTTTTCGCCATCTACACTCTGAACTTTGCCACGGAGATTTACCAATTCGCCATCAGCAACTTCAATAAAATCTCCCGGGGCGAACTTATACGCACGGTCGGTTATCTTTGTATTTTCAACTAAAAATCTACCTTCGCCGAATCAACTAATTCCTTACTGCAACAACAACGACGAAATAAACTTACGTTCTTTTTTGAGGTCATCGCTCGTTTCTTGGAATTTTTCTAATTCACCTAAGGATGGCTTAACTCCTTCTACTTGCTGAAAATATTACTCAGATGAGGTAGGATATACTCTTATGAAGAAATTAAAGCAGAAAAATTAATTTACCACTGCATTCAATGAGAACCACTTATACAAAAACCCTCTCCGATATTGATTTCCCTCAAAAGTGAAGAAGTCGCCGCCTTTAGTCACTTCACCACCAATTTCTCTTAAAAAGCTTTTTTAAAGTATACACAAAAAAAATCAATTTCAAAGTGACAAAGTTCTTCATAACCTTTTACTTTTATAAAGAATGTATACGAAAAAAAGGAAAAAGAAGTAGAAAGATCACCTTATGCGCTCTACATCAAACAATCTAGCCTGAGGTCGTCTTTTATTCTTTTTAAATGTCGAGGTATCCTTTAACAATAAAAGATCAACATTAGCGAGCACTGTTGCCAAACGAAGTGATATAGAGAAGCCTTAAGCAAGATTATGAAATATAGAACATGTAACTAAGTATACTTGTTCTCTGAGAGCACCACGTTTTCGTGTGTAATCAATACGTGGAACGAGCTTGAGATAAACACGATTGTGCGCAACATCCGTTAAGTCCACCTGTAAATGATATACAGAAACTGGCAGCCTTTCCAACAAAATACAGCAGAAAAATTCAGAAAAGTTATGTAAATGAAATGATTTATCTGCCAAACTTCTTCATGGCTTTGGATAAGGAACCTGAGCCAAGTCATCCTTATACATTGTTTTCTTCATTCGGACATACATCCCGCTTCTCAGTGTTTGTATGCTTTTTACAACTTTAAGTGTGTCACACATTTCTTTGATAGGAACCATAGTTATATTATTCGCATTTAAGGCAGAAATCCCTTCTATAGCTGCCACCACATGTGCTCTTTTGAAAGCTTCAATGTAAATCAATCCTTTAAGTCCTTCTTTGACCAAAGCAGATTTGATTTGGAGGGGCTAAAGAAGGCACGAATTAGAAGAATAAAATAAATTATACTGGTAAAGTTTGGATTTTTTGTATAACAATGCTCATGATAGAACCAAAGAGATGTCAAAATGTCTATAACGGGAACAATATGGGACTTACATTGTCGCTATGTTCGAATGAGATAACCTTTCTCATCAATCGGAAAACAACTTCTTTTTCCTCGCCCATACGACATTTGACAATCCATAAGTTGGGGTCTTTTGTACTCGGTAGAAGCGAGTTTCGGCTTATATCATCAAGCGCTCCATCCTCATCAGCGCCGGAAGAGTACGTGGGCTGCGTAGCATACTTCTTCTTGAAGTAATCTTCAATTTGATCCTCGTTCATGCCGCTATAAAAAAATATCTTAATAAACTATAACAAACTACTACCATTAAAGAAAAAACATGTGTACATGTGCAAGAAATTCGTCATTTTCAAGAAACTAATCCACGCTCAAACTCTGTCAACAAGTAAAAAAAATGCTTCAAAAAAGGAGACAACAAGTCCCACTATTAAATATTAAGCAAAAAAACCACTTCTACCTGAAAAAATCTCTTTTCCTTCTATTTTGAGTGCGCTCATCTTGTTCCCTCATTATTCTTTCAGCCTCTTCACGTTCACGAGGATCAATCCCCATTTCGTCTCCATCTTCTTCATAATCTATATCTTCCTCTTCGTCATCATCTACCTCTACATCGTCCAAAATGAACTGGTGAACACCGGTTCGGCGCTAAAAAAAATAACTTGAGCTGATCAAAACTTTGATAGGTTATCCACCATATAACCTAGACAACCGCAACAACAACAACAAAAAACTACCTTAAAGTCCACGAAAGACAAAAAAATTCTGAAAGGTAAAACAAACAACACCTTCTTCCTTCGACCTTTCCCACTTTTACCGCCTTCATCATCCTCTTCGTCCTCCTCATCCTCATTTTCTTCCTCTTCTTCCTCTTCATCCTCATCATCGTCTTCATCAAAACCGGCCTAAAAATGCGAATATTCAACCTTCTAGAAAAAGAAACTGCAAGGCGATAAATATGAAATCAAGTCTGTATGCATACTTTTCTTTTTTTCCCTTTTTGAGGCGGAGCCGATTCTTCCTGTTCTTCATCCTCATTTTCGCTCCCAACACCGGTTTTTTCATCCGGCACATCCTAAAACTGATAAATACTAAACGAAAAAATAAACTTTGGGATTTTTACTGTTCGTTACAGCCCCAGTTTGACTGCAAGCGAACGAGAAAGAGTAAATATGTTCGAAGAATCACTTAAAATATTGATAGACCTCGACTAATAAACGTCTACCAAATGCGATATTAAAGAAAAATAAGCGAAAGAACTATATAACAAGCGCTTACTTCATCTTCATTATCTTCATGATCTTCACGCTTCTCATCTCCGGAAATGCTCTCTTCACTGTCCGACATTCTGGTTAGTGGTTAGTTAGTTTTGTTAAACCTGAAGTAGTGAGCTAAAAACGAAAAAACAAATGATTTCTCTCAGCGGACTTAAAATACATCCTATTCAGTGCCGTGCCCACTGAACAAAAAATAGAAATTACAGCAGTTTCAACCCAAATACATGACAGGTTATCAGTACCTGACAAACGTTGAAAAAAAATAAAATAGGAAATACGAACTAGAAACTGAACCAGAAATGCCCAATGTTGAAGAATTCCGTCTTGGAATACTCCCTTAATCATAAGCAGAAAACTGGAAACTTTTTTGAAAAGAACCTTTACACAGAAACACAATATATGTACTACGACGATTACACAGAAGCTAAGAGAACCGAAGATATCATAAATAAAAGGAGGTATAGACGAGAAGCAGTATTACTCAAGCACCGTTCGCAGTTTTTAGAACGCTAATAAAACAAATAACCTTCCAATTCTATGAAAATTCTACTCTATTTACTTACATATTTCGGCGTGAAAAATTCGATCCAATTTTCTTAAAATATGCGCCTCCAGACGTTGGAACAAAAATGAGCATAATGGTTAAAACGATAGTCTTACTTTTCCTAAACTTTCACATTTCCAGACTCAATTTCTATTCGGTAACACTAAATTAATGTCACTCAACAACAATAACCAATAAATTTTTGCACGCTACCTAACTGTCACGATTCACTTGTCCACCTCCACATAAAAGGTGTTTTAAGCGACACTTTTAAATGCAAAATCACTTTCTGTTCCAATAAAGTTGTGGACGTTGCAAAAAGTTCATAAAGTAGGCAGAAAAAACCTTCAACAACAAAATGTTAAGCTGTTTGTAGTCCGTTACAAATGGAAAAAGTGGGAGATTATGTAGACTTTTTTAATGTGAAAATCCGACAATAAGCCATTACTCCGAATATATGTCGCATAAGACGACAATCTTTTGTTTGTGGAATCATTGCTGCCATTACGATTCAGGGTCCCCTAACGTTTCAAAAAAAGTAACTTTTGGTTTCAACTGGTAGCTGGAACGTAAGATCTGAACATAAAAAATTGAAAAAACTTCCGGTCAGAACGATGAGATAAAGCAAATGTTGTAACAAACGTCAAAAGAAAATTTGCAAAAAAATAACGATCAAATTCATCCTCTGTTTTACTCAGTTTCCGAAGATTCTGTTCAAGTTTAGTATTTCCTTTCCTTATAGTACGGGAAAACTGTAATATTTGTTGGAGGCCCATGTATTTTTTTAAAGTCGTTGTGCTAAACTTTTCTGTTTACTCACAAAAGCTTTCTTTTTCGCTGCACAGTTTATGAAACACACTTCAAACTTCCTCGATTAGATTCAGGTAAAGACTAAAACTGATCGGCAGTATCAGGAAAAATCCGCAAACGTACCACACAGTTTAGTTAAATCTTCTGAAACCAAATTTTGGCGTTGTTCAGATGAAAAAATAACCTAATGCTTAACAAACGTCTTCCTTGAAATATGCAAAAAATATTAGCAACACTCAATTTCCTGTTTCCCGCACCGTCCAGTAAACCTTCAGAGAGACGATAACGTGCTCAAACAAAGCCAAATACACCACAAGACTCACTATGAACTTAGTCGCAGTGCTGTCAAAATTACGAATTTCTCTGTCTGAATTCCACATAGCTAAAACGGAACCATCGGTCCAGAATGCATGTAAACTTCAAACAGCATTTCCTCAGTACGGGATCCATTAGGTGCAAATCACCTAATCGTATAGCTGTTCTATTCTGAACAGCTGTCAACTGATTGTAGCGGAAGATAAGGAGCCGACGAAGGAAGAAGAAAATTAACTTTTAGACGCACCTACCTGTAATAGTAAATTTACAAAACTAACTATTACTGGCTTTTCTGATTTAGTTATTAAGCTTTAAAGACAACTCTCTTCGCATTTATCAGTGCCTCGTACAAACCAAAATCTCTAGACGTATATTACTAATTGAGCCGATAATTGTTTACTACCGTTGAAGCATTCGTTATTCCATATTAACAAAACATGAGGAATAAGTGAATAAAAGCAGATTAAAGTCACTCAAATAATTTACACGTTAATCTGCACGACACGATGAGGGAAGAAATAAATAAATAAATAAGAAAAAAGTTTAGACTTTGAAGTAGCTTTATAAGACATACAAAACATATATAATTTGGTTGTTAACCAAGCAGAACCGTCAAAGGTTTAATAATGCTCGATGCTTTGTAGAAGTCAGCCATAAAAATAATTTAGAAAGGTTCCAACAAACGACCTGATTGTTCCAACAGAGGCGTAAGAAACTTTTGGACCGAGGAACCACGCGCAGGCACTACTTTGCCAACAGGAATGCCCGTTATGTATCGGGAATCCCACAGATTGGAAAGTTGCCAATGCGATGGCAGTCGATCGGTAATCGCATTTCTGTCTTCTGAAGTTTTGAAAAAGTTCTTGGTCTGGGAAGTTGTCACTTCGCCAGCTTCTTGTTGCACTTCGTTATTATGAGTTGCTAGTCTCGATTAAGCGTAGGCGTTCTTCCGCTTCCTCTAGCTCAGGGTATATTAAAAGCTGAAAAATGTGACTTCAACTTATCTATTACTCTTTGAAACACTAATAGTATTTGAATTTTAATTTTAAGGACCTGGGATATAAAAATTTACTAGTTTTTTGGAGTAAATTAAATCAATGCATAGTTGATAGGATTATTTGACCTTTGGAAAGAATAAATTTTTTTCTGTATGAAATCTAGGTCTGATCATATTATTTTACTGGTTCGTTATCTGATATCTATTTCCTTTTTATGCCCGTATTTAGCAGTCGTCAAAAAATTTTGTTCATTCAGTTGGACAGTCAGTTATTTTGATAACTTTGTAATGAAAGCATCAATAAGCATTGAGTCGAGGGAAATATAGATACTCATGCAAACTCAAATTGCATAAAATGAAATAAATAAAGAATCTGCTGAATCTTCAGGGAAGGACGTACTTCTGGTTCTCTAAAAGTGGAAAAAAATTTTTGTGCACGATAGCGTACATTTAGTTTCTGTTCCAGAAATCTGTGATTGGTGGACCCTATTTGCCTGTATGAAGGATAAAGTCAGCCACGGAATGCCTGTTTGACTAAATTAACAAGTGACGCATGAAACCACAGTAGATTTAAAATTGCCGGTGTACTACACTTTCAGCATTTTATTTTTTAGGAAGTCTAGAGGAAGTATTATGAGTTTAAGTTCTGCTGACGCGACTGCGTCTTCAAAAGATTTTCAAAATTTAGTTGCTCTGTCTTCTGACAGAGTTGTGGGATACTGTCTAGAAAGCCCTGAGGCTGTATTAACAAATGGATTTTCCACAGAAACGATCACTCTGAACAGTTCTTGGAAAGGCTGAACAAATTTAGCTTCATTTTTTCGGCAGTAACTCGTTCGATCAACTTGCGAACTGCCCCA